TTACAGTCAGATAAAAATCTAAAAAAAAAATATTCTCTTTTGGAGAGGATCAGATAAAAAATATAGAGAACCTGAAATCTTTAAGACTAAAGATTGGAATAAATAGTGTTTAATATTTTTGTCATTAATTCTTAAGAACCAAAAAAATGTATAAATTTACTTTCATCATTTGTTTAGGTTTTATTCCAATTTTAATCATCACTTTTTTTAAACAATAAACATAGCTGAATAGTGAAGTTAGATAAAATATTATTGGTGTCATTGTAAAAATCATCCTTTTATTTACACTATTTATTTTACATTGGCATTAAGGTGAAAAATTTTCTCCATTTGGCACAAAAAAGACATTTTTTTTTTGAATCTTTTGGACTATATATATCTTTTTTTAAATTTAAAAAAAGAATATAAAACCTAGTGATTAGTTTTAAAATTAAAAAATTTTGAATATACAAAACTGAAAATGAGGATAAAATTCTTAAATATTACGATTCAATGAATTTTCTTTTAAATGAGTTTATCATGACAGCATATTTCATTAAATCTTAATTATCTTATTATAATTCTGCCTGTCCCTCCCTTACTTCACATGTACATTATGCTCTGCCAATACCTAATAAATAATGGACTATTGATCATGTGGAAAGACAGAAAAGATATATCAGAGGCACTACTTGATATCAGTGAGAAAATGAAAGAAAGGCATGTTTCAGTGAAATGGAAAAATTTGTCAATTTCAAATCTTCATTTGTACCCACTTCTTAACAACCAGCATTCATATCTATGATTGTTATTGTAATATTTTGTTAAAGTTGTTAAGCTCAAATATTTGACAATGCGATAGGGGAAGGGGAATTTCTACAGATATTTTATCATTGCAGAACTCGTCATAAGCTTGTTCAATCATTAACTTAAGAATTAAGAATCATCAGAAAATTAAAACTGGAAAACCAGGAAATATTCAAAGGTATTTCTAGTTATTATCATTATTAGTTGAGAGAGCAACATGCCTACAAAGTGATGCTGGGGTACAAATATACAGAGCCCAATATACCCATCATGACACCCAGTCTAGGCACATGCATCACAGTCAAATAATATGGTTTCAAATTGTGATAAAAGTAGTGTATATCTTACAGGTGAGACCTAGTTAGAAATACCTTCAGATCAAGTAACCAAGTCTGTTAGATGGTTTCTAAAAGTGGGTATAATTTAAATAATATATCTAAATGCAACTCCTATGTTGCCTTAGCTGCTTCATCCTTTAAACTTCAGTCAATGATGTGCCATGCATGACACATGGTTAGGTGATCATGTATCTTTCAATACATGACTGATGAGGCAGACTTTTTCCCACAGTAGGTTTCTGTGCTAGACCAGTTGCCATCCAAGGCTATAGAACCTGATCTGTCCTGCTATTTACTCATAGAAAATGAGGATTCATACCTTTCCCAAGGTTATGAGCACATAAGTAAATGTAATAGATTTGACTGGAATTCGAACCTGGCTCTCTGATTCCTCAATCTGAGCTGCTATCCATTACTCCACCATGCCTCCTCCCTTTAAATTTAAAGAAACAAAAAAAAAAAAAAACTTTCTTGGCACCAGGCCATGAGGATCCTGTCACTACCTACATTCATAAACAGGGATCCACAGTGTGTCAGCTCAAAGATTCATCTTAACTCATCAAGACAAATGGTTATGGTAATATCAGCCGTTTCCTTATAAGAAAACATTTGGAATTCATTGACCTCACAGCCAGTATTACTTTTGGTTGATATTTATAAAATCTTTCTCTCAAGACAGTTTTTCAAGAAAATAAGTTTCTCAAATCTTTTCTGTGATGATTCTTTCAAATATTGATAGAGGCTGCCTTCCTAACCTTTTGTTTAATGTTTTGTAGAATATCAGACAACATCTTGATTATATCATTATTTTCTCTTCAAATCACATATAATATCCATCTTAGTTGTTGCTGCTGTTGAAAGTCCTCAACTGATGTGGGTTTTTTTTTACTTGGTACAGTTCTTCGTAATTCTGTAGTGCCAGTCCACGAGTCCCGAAGAAGTATGGACCTCTCTAAGACCTACAGGGTTCATTTGCTTGAAGCCAATTTTAATCATTGAACTGAGGTTGCAGTTGTATATATACATTATTATTAATATCATTATAATTAAACTATACTATTATCACAGAGGAAAAACACATTTGAGACAACAAAGATCTTGTTAAACAAACAAATAGTAAGAATATACTTCTACTTACACTCAGAAAGAGACAGATAAAATTTCTGTAATACATAAGAAGGAAACAGGGCTTAGAGAATTTAATATTCATAGGACATACTAGAGGCAACACAGGAAGTAACAAGTTTGTGTGAATGAATGACAGAACAAAGACAAAGAGGTGTAGTTAATCATCAAATGTTACTTAGAGCAAAAAAGGACAGGAAGTTGAGGAGAGTCATGATCACCCAACTCCTGAAGAGACATGGCAAATAAAAGAGGAATCAACATCTTCTAAATCCTGTTTATCCAGATAATTTTCATTTTTTTAATAATATCCCAACATAGACTTATGATATTATAAATCATTTTAATAATTCCTTCAAGACAGGAGGTCCTCCATATCTGGAACACTGGCAAAATAATTCTTGTTCTTTTATTGCTCACTCTCCTTGATAGTATAGTCTCACATTCTCTAACACTCAGTAACCCCTTGCATCTTAGAGGCTTTATTGTCTTGTTTGGTGGGGTGATGATTAAAAGAAAAAAAGAATTCTACCTAATTGTACTTGTAATTTCCCACTTATGCCAATGGTAAGTGTTTAAAGTCAGGATTTTGAATGTAGATCTTACTTACATAGAAAATTGGTGCAACACTATCTTCTTTTGCTCACTTTTCCTGTACTGAATTATTCTAGGCTTAGTAAATGAATCTATGGTCCGCTTAAAGGCTGAAATATTACATATATGCCATTAGCACTAAACATCAACCAATATTCAAACCCCTCTTAAAGCCATACTATCAAATGCTGATTTTCAAGGCAGGTAGACACCCTGCTAATTTGACAGTATCTTCTTCCCTGTCCCTACTTGGCTTTGTGGTGGTGATGGATCGGATATAGGTAAAAGCCATAATTTCAGATGCTGATTTTCAAGGCATGTTCTCTTCACTTGAAAGATAGAAGCAATATGATCCTACTAACAGTGCTTTTGTGTGCTAAGTACTTTCAGGAGGGGAAATGATCATGACTCTCCACAACTTCCTGTATTTTGTTGCTCTATGTATTTTTTACCCTTCAACACTACTCTTTGTCCCTGTTTTACCATCCAACCACCCAAAGTAGGTTACCCGCTTTCTCTTGTTTCAGTGTCTCCTGGGAATATTAAATTCACATAATAATCGGTACATTTATGTATTTATAAAATTTGCAATGTCTCCTCCTAATTTCTGAATGTTTATTCCTTGCTTTTCATCTAAATTTATAAATTGTGAAAGTTTTTATTTATTTATTTATTGTCACTTTACCAGTTTTCTTCCATCATCATTGCCATTTTTCTCTCTCTGCTTTACACTCTCAACTGAATAGTCAATCTCCCCACCTCCACCTATATATCACTCACAGCCTTCGATCCAAATGCCAATTCATCCTTGCAGACAATCATATTTCCCTTTGAATCTTTTTTCCAATATTATATTCCACCTGTCTGTCTCCCACTTTCAAATCAATTCTGCATTTCACAGAACTTTTATACAAACATTTATATAGACTCCCATTTTATGCTAGCAGTTATTTATATAGACATATATTTCATGTAAACACTTATTTATAGGGACACCTTTTATGCTAATACATTTAATTAAAGTAAGCCTTTATACAGGCATATATTTCCTCTATACATTTATATAGACACCTATTTTATACTACCTCATATATATATATATATATATATATATATATATATATAACATTTATTTTATACAACTAATACAAAAATAGAAAGGGGTATAAGGCAAGGATACATCTTCTCACCTGACCTGTTCAATCTATATATAAAATATGCATATGACAGAGTACTGATATCAGACACACAGAAATGTAATTACAATATCTCCTACAGAAGGTAGCAACAGAGAGTGAGAAGAAAGGACTAAGCATAAACTACAAGAAGACAGAGTGCATGGTTGTCAGTAAGAGGATGAACCTGAAATGTGATCTGAAGGTCAGGAACACTAGAATCAAGCAGATGCAGAAGTTTAAATACCTGGAAACCATCTTGATAGAGAATGGTAAATGCGATACTGATATCCGTAGGTTTATTGGGATGGCCAAGGACACATTCCAAAAGCTGGGCAGAGTACTGCAAGACAGGATGATATCTTAGGTAACAAAGTAAAGAATACTGAACTGTTACATGACATCTGTCCTTCTTTATGGCAGTGAAATGTTGGACGATTTCCTCAAAGATGAAGAAGAGACTCAAGGGGACAGAGATGTGGTTCTACAAAAAGATGCTAAGACCGAGTGTGTGAGCAATGAGGAGATCTTAGAGAGGTTGGAAACAAGGAGGAGGTTTATACTTAATATCAGGAAGAGGCAAGTGAAGTTTCTGAGACACATAATGAAGAAGGGGGACCTGGAGAATCTGATATTCACGGGTTGAATAGTGGGAAAGAGAGACAAGGGAAAACAACACGTGACATACCTGGTGTTCTTAACCAAGTGGATGACAAAGCATGGTCTGGGGGAGGAAGCAGAGGGAAGGAACTTATTGGGAGCTGCAAGGGATAGAGGGAGGTGGAGAGTCATGATCGCCTACATCCTGAAAGAAAATGTCACATAAAAAAAGAAAGAAGTCATGTAAAGTAATATTTTATTCAAAGACTGTCAGATTATCCTATAAGTAATTGTTTGAATTTAGAACTAAAATGTATAATAGTAACTGTGAGTTCAATCTCTGGGCTGGGTAATACCGTCTCAAACTCGGAAGAAGCAAGCTTATGGCGATATCACACAGAAACACTAGTTCTCATCTGATCACTGAAGTCAAGCAACATTGAACCTGGTCAGTACCTAGATGGGTGACCACTCAGGAATACCAGATGCTGTAAGTTTGGATGTGCAGTTGGTGTAATGAATAACAACTCAGAAGGAGAAATCAAAGAGCCTAGTTCCAGTCAGTTTTGTTGTATTCACTTAAGTGCAAATACCATTGAGAAAGGTATGAATCCACCACTTCTCTTCCATCAGAAAATTATTATTATCTCTCCCAAATTCTTACGATCCCAAAATATGTTTCAGCCTTAAATAAACTTAAAAAGGTTGATATGCTGTAAAAAAAAAAAAAACAAATCAATTGGCAAAGAAATAATCAATCAGAGAAAACTGGACCAGCAATAACTGTCTCCTTGGTGTACAGATGAGATCACTGAACTCTCTTCCAACACATGGCACTCACACGCGTCTTCCAAAAATCTATGAAGTCAGGCTGACTCGAGTGAGAGCATAGTAATGATGTTCATACTAACATACCTCTGAACCAAGAAAAAGAAAATGGGCATCCCATAACTATGTTTAAATCTCCCAGTGATAAACTTTCCTTTGGTTGTTCCAACTTTGCACAAAGCTGACTTGAGCTCAACCATTTTAACCATTGTCATCCTAACTTACTTGTGAGCCAAAAAGGAAAACAGACATACCCAAGAGACATTGAGAACTTTGTTTCACCTTAGTCACCATAAAAAGAATAAACGTCCGTAGGAGAAACCCCTGTTTTTGCATGCTTCTATCTTTGTTTACATATTGAACACTCACTTTCACTTAAAACCCTTCAACATTTTAAAGTCTATACTTGACATGCCAAACTGTCATTGGAAGGAATCTTGGTTTCCAGACTTGTTCTTATGGACTTTCTGGGGGGTTTGCAAAAAATTTTCCCAAACCTGCTTAAACCATCTGGTAGTCATCCAGAAAATTTTGTCCAGTAGAGCCAGCCTTCTTCTCTTAACATTTTGTGCCATGTCCAAATCTGCATTGTATTTTTAATGGATTATCTCCCAAATGCACACTGTACAGGCTTATTTGACTGGGTTCGAGCATACACACAAAATGCCTTTTCTTTTCAAATCTGATCAATAAGCAATTTACACATTTCTATGTAAGTAACACTTCAGGTAACATAGGAACAGATCAATGCAAACATCCCTCAAGGTTTGCTTCTTGGTCCAACCCTCTTCCTACTTTACATAAATGGTTTGCCTAAGATCATATCTATAAATTATTTGTGAATATTTATGCTGATGATACAACAGTATATGGGGGGGCAGCTGATCTCTCCTCTGACCTAGGTCTAACAGATCAATGGGGAGAAAACTAATTGGTCCCATTCAATACCAGAACTGTCACTAATTGTGATGAACAGATGTTCCCTCAAGGAGGTTCTATGCCTGGAGTGCTTGATGGAATTTATACTCAGCCCAGACTGCAAATGGGACATGTACAATGTTTTTCTTCTCTAATCACTACAATCTTAACCTGTTCAAGTCTAGGGTTAACTGTTATCGTTACCACATATATGCCTATATTGTACTTCTTACTCTACCTTGAGATGCTCTTGTACAGGATGAACATCATTGTTAAAAAAAAAAAAAATTACGATGAAAATCTTTATAGAAAAGGCACAGGGATGCTATATTACAGCAATGGTAAAGCCTAGATGCCAAGTCAGGACCAATAATATTACTAATTTTTTTTTATTTAATCAAGAATCTCTAAATTAATGGCAGAAGCACTGGACCATGTGTGTTTCATTTTGTTTTAAGTCTTATGATAGTAAATGAGTTCAAAACAACTCCTGATGAAAGCAGTAAAAATAATAATCATCTTGAAGTGACTAACTGGGTATTTACTCAAAATTTCATGTGAAATGATCACAGTTTTAAGTACTTAATCATTCATCAGAAGTAGAATTCTCGGTAAATCACAGTCATTTTGAAAATTAAATATGTTCTTGAATTTTTTGCTAGAAATTAAAATTGGAAATTAGTAACATAGCTTTTCTGCACCTTTTTTTATAAAATATTTTCATGGTAATTGTTTTAATGAACTTTCTGCTAGGGTACCTAGACTTTATGAATTTTGGAGGTAAGGTCTCATCAATTTACAGTTCAAATGGTCAGAGGGAACCAAAGTTCTATGCTTTATTCTTTTGCATTTGTCACTTGAGCAGTAGCCCTTTATGCCACACCTTGTCAAGAGTCTTTGAAATATCTAATGTGATTGTCCTTGATATGTATTTGTTAAGTGTCTCACTAATTTTGTGAATAATCTCAGGATACCAGCAGTGAACCAGGCCAGTAAAAACCTGTACTATTTGCTACTCAAGAGGTTATTCCTATTGAGCTGATCATCTTTGGTACTTAGACTCTATGAATTTAAGCACAGTACTAGATTAGCTTCAAGGTCTCATCACTTTTAGTTAAAATATCTAAATCAACACTCTTTCTCCCTTCTCTTGGACATGAGTAGAGGCTTACGCCTTGTTTCTTGTTTAGGAAGGGGTTCCCGGTACTCTCTCTCTGGCCTCTGTATCTCCAGTTGCCTTGATCTATCCACTATCCTTCTCCTCATCCTTTCTTCTATCATTCCTATCTGATCTTGCTCCAAATTTTCTGTAACCCCTTGCGTCCTTGTGGCTTTCCGCCTTGCTTGGGGTAAAATATATATATATATATATATAACCATAAGTTCTATACTAACAGTTTCTTCTCTCACACTTCTTACACTCTCTTCCAGCTTCTTACTTCCCAGTCAGCTTTGATCTTCAAAAATTTAAATGTAATGCCAATTGTTATCTGCTGTCTTCTTAATTCTTATATTGTTCTCTCTCCTTCCATATATTCTCTAACACCCAGTAACCTCTTGAATCTCTTTCCATCACACACTCCAAAACCTCATTTTTTTTTTTTTAAGCCTAGTTTGTCATGATTGTCAAAAGGTGGGTTAATCAACCAAAACATTTCAAGTTCTGAAAGAATAGGAGATCATACAAAAATAAAAATCAGATTGTGTTGTGTCGTCAAGCTGTCATAGTAAAATATTGTCATTTTTTAATGTAGTATTTAAATCAATTCAAAAATGTAGTTCTACAGAAGAATGCTGAGAATAACATGGACCAAACATGTGCACAACTCTGAAGTTTGAGAAAATGGGAAGAAAGTACACATATACTTAACATCAGAAAGAGAGAGTTGAAATATCTAGAGCAAATAATGAAGAAAAAGGGCTTAGAAAATTTGACACTCATAGGATATATTTGAAGGCAAGAGGGACAGAGGAAAACAGCACATAACCTACCTAATGAGCTTGTGTAAATGGTTGGCTGAATATAGCAAGAGAAAATTTACTAAGAGTTATAATTACAGGAAATCGAGGAGAGCCAGGATCACCAAGGTCCTTAAGAGACATGGCACAAAAAAGAAGGCTCAAACCAGTATCCAACAACTATCCTTGCCTTTTTTCATCACTTCTTCAGTCAGTGGAACAAAAGGCCAACTGACCAAAACATAATACAGAAAGTCCAAAAGATACTAAATATTAAAGTTTTTAAAAAAAAATGTGAGCTTGACTCAAAAGTTTCCAGCAATTTTATTCATAGTTGGATGTTTACATTTTTTTATTTCCTTGTCGACTTTTTGCACCCAATAAACATTATCAAAACAATTGTTGTTTTGATAATAGTCATTGAGAGTGAAATACCAACAAAGAAAGAAAAAGTTTATGCATCCAATTGGTTTTCACATTTTATATACTTCGTTTCTATAGCCTTGGATGGCAACTGGTTATCCAATTGCCATCCAAGGCTATAGAACCCAGTCTGTCCTGCTATCTACCTATAGCTGGGGTGCGGGGGGATGGAGAAGAAGAGGATTAATACCCTTGAGAAAGGTATGAATCCTCCACCCAGCCATGGATAAATAGCATGACAGACCGAGTTCTATAGCCTTGGATGGCAACTGGTCTACCACAAAGAAATGGCAACCTACTGCAGGAAAAAATCTGTCTCGTCAGTCATGTATCTTCTGATACATGATTGCCTAAGCATGTATCCCGTATGGCACATAACTGGCTGATATACTTTCTTTGGATATTTCATACTAATTATTTATCATATTCTAGTCATGCAAATTGCATTCTCATCTTGGTTGTCTTTGGTCAAAACATGCATAACTCAGGGATTGAACTAAAGACTTTCAGAAAATGAAATAATTCTTCTATCCACTATGTTATGTTCTCTTCTAAATATGTTCTTAAATATCACCATCAGATCTCATTCAGAAATGTTTAAACTATTATTTATATACAACCGTTTTCTCAAGTTAGGGATTAAAATGGCTTCAAGCAAATGAATCCTCTAGGTAATAAAGAAGACCATCCTTCATCAGTTCTTATAGACTGGCATTACAGAATGACAAAGATCTTTACCAAACAACAAAAACCATATTCAACATCAACACAAAAATGAGTAGCACATGTAATGAAAAGAGGAGATAATGACATAACTGTCAACTTTCCACATAACCGAAAAAATGTCTGGAAAGAAACTTGCATCAATAATAGAAAGAGCTATAATACTATGTGAAGTCTAATTTCTTGAAAAACTGTTTCAAGAAAAAGGTTTTCATAAATTTAAAAATTAAAAAAAAAAAAAAAAAAAATATTTTCATAATTTTGAATATTAATTGTTCAGTTAATGAATGTCAAATATTTTCTGTATGGAAATGACTAATTCTTAGTAGTACCATTTTAAAGCTCTAAGTGCAGAGGTGTTTCTGACTAACAACCGCATCCAGCATGTTACAATCAGGGAAATTTTTTATGCTTGACTGAATCTCATGCACAGAAATTGACCGGTCAGCTTTCTGGCAAGTTTCTCTGAGGTGGATCCTTCAATGAAGGAAAGAAAGAAAGAAAGCAAAACATTTCTTGCACTTTCCTTATCCATTCTCGAACATTGATTGACATTTCTGCCCCCAACCTTGTCTGTAAGCTGATTAGTTCCTGAAACATATCAGACAGGATTAATACTGGATTCTAAGTCCTGTTTTGAGTT